GGAGGGGAGAAAGAGTGAACGCGGGGGAAGGAAGAGGTGTCGCCCCGGCGAGATTAAAGCTGCCTCACCTGTCGTCAGAGAAGAGCAGAACAGTGCGGACAGTAGTACGAGCTGCATTTTAGTCAGACACTTGCCGCACCTGGAGCACGATTCGTCGTCGAGCGAAGTGGCGTCCCACTTCTTCCTCGTCTGCACTCTCGAGTACTTCATCGTTCACTTGACATTTGTGCGGGGCGGTGCCGCGGAGATCACAGGGGGAAGATAATCGCGGCCGTTTGTACTATTTGTCGAGAAAAAGAATGGAAGTTACAACCGCAGAATTTTGCAGCCGTCGCGTCGGGGAATTTCCGTTTAATCGAGCCCACCCGCCTCAACGCTCTCTTCGTTTTCTGTGTGTTGGGAGTAAGACGATCAGCGATTTTCGACGACGTCACGTGTTCCCCGCCGAGAAGATCGTCGGTATCGATATTCCACGATACCTTAGAGACAGTCGAGAGTCCGCATTTGAATGTTGATTTCGACCGAGCCAGCGAAATTCTTGCGCGTTCGTCGATTTGTCCTCACTCGACGTCTCCTACACTTTTCGATTCTCGCGGGAGGATTCCTCCTCGTGCTTTTTAAGAAGAAAAATCCATATATATGTATATATCGATTCGTGCGGCTCGGTGTGAAAACAATTCCACTTTGCGTTTGGATTTAATGGAACGCCTGAAATCTCTCGACGTTCTCGATTTATTTTTCTGTCGTAATGTTGCTTTTCTAATTTGCTCCTTTAGAAGTACTGATTGACCGCGATATCGTAGACGACAGCTGTTGTACCACTTGCGAATTAAATCAAAATTGAATTATCACGTTAGGACGTTATCCTTTTCGTGATTTATTTCTTCAACGAGGAGATTCTCCCGATTCCTCGCGAACGGGAGCGTTTTTCCGACACCGCCACGTGTGTTTTCGTAGAAACCACAATAAGCGCACACACTTAGCTTTCGTATATCCTCACGAAAGTAGTTTCGCTATTACCCCGCTTTACTTGGGTCATTCCGCGGAGGTCTTCTTGGGGCTTAACGATCCTCCTTTTATCGTCAGTTGTTAGACGCGGTGGCCGCTATTTCCGCCGTAAACGCTGTCCCGTTAATGTTTTTTGTCTCCCGTAACTTCCCCCGGACACTCTCCCTCGGACGCTTTCGTGAACTTTTTACGCGAGGGCGTCTTTCTTTTTTTCTCTTCTTTTCTTTTTGTTTTTTTTTTCTTTTTTGTTTCTTTTTTTCTTTTATTTTTGCGCACCCAACGTTGCTCAGGTGCGCGCGCTACCGAGCACACCACCCGTATATTTCCCCGTCAAACGGATATCACTCCCTCGCAAAACTCGTCTCGTTTCGTTCCCTCTCGGGGAACGGGACGACCCTCCTTTCACAACGCGCGCATTAACTCTGCTCCCTCCGTTTTCCCGGATTCTCGCTAATTAACGCATGAAAAATGATTACACACCGCGAGACGTGAGCGCCGATGCGTCTCGAGAAGCTTATAGACCTTGCGTAGGCCGGATTTCCTTCCCTCCGGAAGTCGGATGAGTGCCTGGAAGCGGAAACAAACTGATGCGCCTTTCCCTCATCGGCAGCTCCTCGTCGTTGATTAACCGGTGCGCCGGCCGCGGCTCTACAACGTTCGTTACGTCAGAGCGACAGCCTTCGCGAGAAAGCGGCGCGAAAATCTCATCCGGTTACCGGCCGAATCACTTCGCGCCCGGATCCTTTTTCATTCTTTTCTTTGTTGCGCAGCGAGAGGAGGGGAAAAAAGCAGAAAGCAGCGAGCGTGAATTTCCAGTTTTTTTCGCGTTTGTTTCGCGGTTCGACGGACTTCTCGTGATTCTTTTCCCGCGATCTCGTTTTTTTCCCCCGCGAATCGGGAAAATTCCTTCTGACGTTTGCAAATTCTCGCGAGCGGAAACGAGTCCCGGACGCGAACGGGCGACGCATCCACGTGACACTTTTGGCCACGTGCCGCGATCGCAATTGTCCACCTTTATTTTCTCCCACCGCAATGTACGCCCATCGCAAGCGCGATTCCTTGCATCTCGCGTACGATTACCGTTTCAATTCACACATTTCTCGAACTCGTTAGTCGTCACCTGTATCCTTTTCAGTGGTTTCTCAAATGTATCCTGGCGTGCGCACTGTCACTTTCAAACACACCTCCCATCGACTTCTTCGGCAATCGCGATCGGATCTCTCAACTCGACGGATGAACTCCCGCCAAACGTTACGTGTCACTGTCTTGTGATAATCTTTTTGTTTTTAAAGTTAATGAAAAAAAAAAGAAGAAGTTACAACTAAGCGACGGCTACTTGTCTCCGCGTCCGATTTCAAGAGAAATCGGAAATCGCTTCGTGCGAACACGGAACACCGGCCTCGTCGTCGCAGATTTACCCGAGTACCTTTACCATCGGCAGTTCGTAGTTGACAGAAACCCTTGGCGGGAGCGGTACGACGAATAAGGTGCCACTCCCACCCGCGCATGCTCCACCACCACTCTCCGGATCATGATCCCCTTCTCTCCCTCCTTCTTTTGCTTATTTTCTCCTTTCCCCTTCGTCGGGCCCGTCTCTCGCTCCTCTTCCTTTCCGTCAGCTTTCCTTCTCACGCATGATCCCCCCATTTACTGCGTTTTCAAATCGTTTTCTCTCGCTCCCGTTTGCCGGGCCGTCTTCTGTCGTTTTCTCCCAATTTCTCCCCCTCGGTCGTCATCGAATAGCCGCACGTGGTTCGTGACCATCAGAGTGGGGCGATCTATAAACCAATTAATTCGGGTAATAAGCTCGACCGGAGAAACTCGACCTATCCAGACCCTTGTCTGTCCGTCCGCAAGAATACGCTACTGGATCCTTTCAGCGACTTTCTTCGACTTGACTCGCCTTTGTTCGTTCAACGTACAGCAAATCAGCTTGTCACATCGAAAGCCATCACCCTATCTCGTTTGTTGAAACAAGCTTAACCCTTTGGCCACGTATGGCGTGTCAGAGGGATGTAGAATCTGTCAGAAACGATGGATTTACGAGACTACGCGGATTTACGAGACTGCTGTTTCTTTCTTCTTTTTTTAGGTTTTACGCTCAACTAATTTAAAACTCATTCTATATAGCTTTTTAATTGAACGTAATTAAGCATTTGATACACTGATTTATTCTTTAACAATTATTAACCCTTCATTATTTCCATAGGGCGTCTAGGATACCTCTACAATCTTATAAACTCGCTAAATGCAATTTATAAATGCACATTATTATATTCAGCGCAGATTGTTTTACAATTAAAAATAATCTTTTGCATCTGCGAGATATTTAGAATATCAGTCTTTATTTAATTATAAGTCACCGAAGAGAACAATGAGAATTTGAAGTATAATACGTTAGAAACACTTTACGCAAATAATTATGTTAAAATAAAACTATGTGAGTAATGTAGAATTAAAGAACGACAATTGTTCAATAGTAACAAGTTATATTTTCGGAGATACTCTCTATGAAAGCATTATAAATTACTGCGATGATAGAAAAGTGACACGTCTCAAAATTAGCAATTTATTTTAGTAGAGCATTTTTTTAAATTCTGAAATGGAATTTTTTATGATAATCAGTATGCATAACCTTTTCCACGTTTTATACTTTTAGTTAAAGTAACCGGATCCTGACCTAGTACCCAATATATGCCCTATTTGCCGTTTCTAATAATTAATAATAATAATAGTGATAGTGATAATAATTACCATGTATTCAATAGATAGCATTATAGTGAGTCGTGCAGGCTGCTCTTCTGACTTGATTACATCAGTTTATTGCTCAGTTTGTTATTATCAATAAAGTGAAATGCAGAACGTTGTGATCGTGATGTAATATTTTGTAGGTAAGTAATTATTTTTTATAATTACCAAGAGATAGAGAGTTATTAATGTAAGTTCATTTTATTCTGTAGTTCATTTTATTGTAACTTTGTATTTATACAATCCTATATCTAGTTTATATTTTTGTCACAGTGCTTTGTTGTGATAAAAGCGAAAAAACTCTTTATAAGGTAGAATCAACACGATTACTGAACGATTACTTAGCATACTGAACATACATTGATAGTGTTCGTTCGTTTTCTTTTTTTGATACTTTTATTATTCTGAATCATAATTCGTCTGTTAAACGTTATGGAAATAAGAGATAAATAGATAAGTAAATAAGCAGGTAAGTAAATTGTTTAGAAAATAATTTTTTGTATTCTTATAGGTCAACCCAGATTGCACAGAGTTCAAAAGAGTTTAAGAAGAATTCAGCTCATTTTCAGATGCAACAAGAATTCTTTTCAAAACTTTTCAGGAAGAGAATTCTTTTTGCATCCGAGAATTCAGAATTCATGATGACACATCACTGAATTCTTTTTGAACTCTTCGTGCTATCTGGGAACAAATATATGCCAATATGCTACTGAACTTATAATCTTACAAAAGTAAACATTGGAATACTTTATTTCTTATTTTTTCAACATATTTTTCTGAAAAGGAAGAAAACATGTGTTTAAGTCATATTGTGCACAATAAGTATGTTACTTTATTTTCTTAAAATGTTCACTGCACCATGTAAATAGTTGAAGATGTCTTATTTATTTTTTTATTCAGAAATGTTTTATTTTTTGAATCTGACTCAGTTTTAAATTTTTAACTCAGCCAAAATTAGACAAAAAATGGCAAAGCTTAGATAAATCATCTACAATCTGATTATCTTATAAGTATTCTTTATAAAGCTATATCATAAATTTTCAAAATTTGCATTTTCAAAATGCGCGCAATTCTTCAACATGGCGAAATGTGACATAATTACTGATAGAACAGAGATTCATTTCAAAAAAACATTTTTTCTTTATTCTGAATTGAAACAACATTTTAATTAACGTAATGAATACGCATAATCTTACTCTCTTTCCGTTGTTATACTTTTAATTATATTTATTCTTTAATACTATATGTTTTTAAAATTCAAACCCTAACGCTAATTTTTTATTCGTGTCATTTTCTATCATTCTAACGTGCCGAAATGTGACATAATTAATTATTGCACATATTGCATATGCATTAAGTCGCAATTAATAATGTTGTAATGTGGAAATAAAATAAGATCGATTTCTTTAGCGGAATTAATTTAGCGAGAAGTAACAAGGGTGCACATACATGCACACGCATACACGTATACTCACACAAAGATTAAGACATCGTGAGTCCGGGCGACCGTCACGATCTGTTTTAATTTGTTAAATATATTCATTGCTCTCACGTCCCCGTTAGAGCGCGGCGCATCTAGACTCCGCTTGCATAAGTTTTCACAATGGCGTTGTCCCTTATTCCCCGGGCCCAATGAGGGATTATTAAAGAAAGGCGCTCTCCTAGCAGCGGGCTGCGTAATAAATCAATTAGTTTAAATAAGAAGGGCCCGCGGCACGTAGATGGGGCGACAACACGTCCCCGTGAAACACCGTCGCTCTCCACGCTCGGCTCTCGCCAGCCTATTATTATGGCCCGCACGGCGGGCGAACCGCCGTCGATTGCGCCGATGAATTAATTGCGCGCGATCGATTAATTAAAACGCCGACGCACACCGTCAACGTGATCCCAATGCCGAGCGACGGAAATATTATTCCGCCGGGCTGCGCCCGCGCCGACGCGACGACGCGCGGTGACTCGGCTTGGCAATAAACGATGGAAAACCTTCAAGTCGACAATCGATCGGTCGTTCGATCGCTCGATTGCTAAACCGCGACGCGACGGTTAACGTCGAAACTCGAAACGCGCTCCTATCCCGTACTTGCCGCCACCTCGATGGACTGCCGAACACGGTCGATTTTGTACGCCCGATCATCTCCCGTTCCGCTCTTCTCGCCGCGCGGCGCGTTTGGCGCTTTGCGATTTGCCAAGGTGAATCGACGCTGATTTGATTTACATTCCTTCCCCTGTCCCTCCGCGCGAAGCCCACGCGGATCTCGCGCGCAGAATAGAAGTGTTCGGTGCGTTTGCATACATTCGAACGGATCGCGCCGTCCCGCGAATGACAGCTGAGAATTATCCGTTGCATAATACACGCCGCATCCCGGCAGGATGCCGAGATCCTGAATACGAGTTGTTGGTGAATGAATTAACATACTAATTACATGCCCCGTCAAGCACGCGTTGCGCGATTTCATGGCTTTGGTAACTTTACAACAATGATGAATCTTTCGTAACTATGCTAAATAGATCGTGACACGCTTTTGTCTTCTCTTTACACGTCCGTGCTCCCATTTTGCACAGTTTAATCTCATTCTACGATAGATGCACTGATATAAATATCCAGCTCAAGGAATTAGCTAATTAATTTTCTCGTGCGAGATATAATATTGATAAGTTAACCTAGACAGCTACACGAATAAATCGAATAAATAAAGAAGAGCCAATATGGTCGAAGCTAGAGCTTGGTATCTAATAACATTTATATGTAAATTTTAAATAGAAGAAACGGTGGCTTGTTGGTATCATTCCATTTATGTAAAATTTTTTCTCTTTTACAACATAGATATTATTCCTTAAGTTTTATTTAAATCAAACAAGTATTGCAATGAATAAATAGAAAACTCTGATTCCAGAGTAAGCGAGATTTTTGTTAAGGATTTCATCATTTTATAAAAGTTTCTTTTACTGTACCACATGTTATTTTGAATAATAAGAGAGTAATTTATAATACATAATGTACAATGTATAATATATAATAAAATATAATATATATAATGTATATATTATATAATAATATACAATAAAATGAACGTAATAATTATACGTAAGGATGGAATACGACTCTTTATACTTAGTTTAGCTTGACTTGCTGTTTTTACGCGTGCGAGAAAGTATGTAAACATTTGGTTACAACTTTTAACTCTGACAGAATGTTATATATATATATTTTTATTTATTTATTTATATAGATAATTATATAAGTTTATTTTATTTGACATTTTCATATTAAAGTAAGTTAAATCAAAGTGGTCTACACATTTGTTTTTCTGTAACAAGCGTTATTTTATACGTTCATTACAAAATCATTTTAAATACTTTTTTTAATGATAAATCTTTATCAAAAATTATACGTACAATCAGTTTTTTATATTTATTACGTTAATTTAATATGAAATTCGTCGTATAAGCAATTTATACAGTGATATGTATCAATTTTCCTCATTACTGAGGCAAGTGGGCTACAATATAACAGGTTCGAATTTCACTTACTACAATGTGAAACTGTACAGTACACAATCGTTTCCAACATGAAAATGACGTGTATATAGAGAAAGATGTTCTCTACTATACTATACAGTTTAATTATAATTTTTCATTTAAAATTTAATTTTAATAATTAGGTATTTACAAACCTCGGTATTTCTTACTTTTGTTATTTATATAAACCGCGAATATTCAGATTATCAAATTGAAATGCAAGTATTGGTAAGCAAGTATTAGTACTTTTTTATG